AAAGAAAAAAGGCATAATAGCATTAAAGGAAGCAGAGCTTGACATTTACAGGAGGACATAGATGCCTGCATGATGAACTTAAGTATTCTAGTTGTTCCATCCTCTGCTTTTCCATTTGGATATTTATGCATTATGTTATCTTTTATTACAAGATGAGAATTGTCTCAGACTCCCAGTCTTGCACAGTGCAATGAGAAAACATGAAATGAAGAATCAGGATCACACTGGCTACATGGTATTTCTGACACCAACAAACTTCACCCAGGGGCAGGGGGGAAACCTTCCATTTTTTTAACCCTACTTTTTTATTCTATATACACATATCTTCCATCTATTAGGACTGATGCGCTCTGCAAGGGAACTGTATTTTCCAATCTCAGTTTAAATTTCTTCTTACCAGAGAGAGCTATAAAGGATACATCAATATATTCATTGCTGGAACAACAGCAACTCAACTTCCCCGGTTTCTTATTTCTGCACACGGGGAACGTACCATCTTTTATAATGTGAAATGGAACGTCTCATGATTTTTCTCAATGCACTTCTAACACATGTATGGCTGGGAATCTAGGGTTCAATACTGGAAAAGCTCTAGAGAAACGTATTTTTGCAGCTCGAGTGTGCCTGCCGTAGCAAAGCCTTTATCATTGATACAGAATTAGAGATAGGGTCACTGACAGTAAATGGTCAAACCACTTTTCAAGACATTTTGGCAAGCTACATCCAAGGCTGTGTTTTCAGGACTGCTTTAAGGTATGCCAGGAAACGGCTGCAGGGAAAAGGGATGGTTCAACCGGCTACTCATTCTCACCACCCCTGTCCTGACCACATCAGGAGAAGATCTGAATGGGAACCAACCCAAGGGAAACAACAGAAATCCCTATTCAGCTGGATTCGCCCCCTGATCTGGTTGATCACGTAACCACATCAGTGCCACTGCAAGCTCAGAGGAGGAGGTGAGAACAGGTGAAAATGTAGCCTCACCCCACCAGGCTGAAGCCTACAACTTGGGCGGCTTCAAATGACTTCAAACCTCAACTCCAGAGACAAAAAAAAGAGATGGATGTGCACTGGTGGAGATGGGATAGGTCCTCTCCTTTCCAACAAGCAGCTTACCAAGACCCCTGGTGTCACGACACGGCAGTACTCATCGTGGAGGCCATGAGTTGCAAACCACTTGTCTCACAAGAAACAATCACCTGGAAAAGAAGAGAGAGGAAAAGTTTCACCAACAAGAACACACAACCAAAGCCAAGCTGTAAACCCCTTCCACACATCCAGACACAGAAGCAGAGGAATCAAAGCCTGCCCTGAACCATCGACAAGGGGAAGCCTCTGCTCCGACTGGCAATATTTGTCAGCACCCAAAAAGCCACCATCCAACTGGAAGAATGTGAAGATCCGTGCTGCCCATAGGGGAGAATAGGCCAGACCTGCTTTAGCACTCCCACATTTCAGCCAGCTCAACTCCCATGAGCCCATCTGTGTTTAGGGAAGCTGACACAAAGCCTGGACATGTCACAGTCCCTTCTCTGCACCCGTCTCTCTTCCAAGGCTCACCTTCCCCTCACTTCCCCTCAGTTGCTCAGCAACTCCTGCCAAACCCCTGTGCTTCGCATACACAACCTCCTCTACAGCCAGAGAATGTTTAAATAAAAACATCAAGCATCAGGTGGAGCCAGACAGTCACATCTAGGGGAAAACCAGGCAGGTTTTAAGAGAAGGAAGCACTACCTACTGTTCTGACAGCTCCTACTTCACATCATTGTGCACACTACAGGGAGAAGGGGATCCTATGGCAACCCTTCCCAGGTAAGACATACTGCAAGTCTGCTCAAGATAGAGGGGTTGGCCCCACCTTGTATTATGGTTATTTTCTATACAGTCAAAAGAGTCCATGGCCCAAGAACCCATCTGCTACATTTTCAGTAATACAGACAGCCCTGCATCAATTTATGCTCAATCACAGGTTGAAGCGAGTTTAAGTGCCTGAAAGTTTGGCAATACAAGGGAACACAGACTTTGAGGAACACCTTAATGGTAAAACTGAAGTCAGTCAAAAAGGAGCCAGCTTCTCCCTCACCCACTGTGAACACTGTAGAGGCTGCAAGAACAGTATGAATCCAGACAACACTCACACTGTCAGGGCCAGCACGGTCTCTCAGAGCACTCTCAGCTATTTACACAGCATGGACAGCCCTGCAGTTAAAGTTTTCTGTGTAATCCCAATGCATTCTGCTGACCAGATCTCCCAACAGAAACGCCAGGAGCTGGAGGCTCAATTAGTTATGCATTGTGAAACCCTGTGCATATTCTCTTCCCTCCAACATTCTCCAACTATTATCTACTGCAGCTTCACCTTAATAATGTAGCAATGCACTGCCATGTAAGCCACTTCACAAAACCAAACTACAAAGCTAGGCCCAAACAATGCAGCTACATTCTCCACCCAGACCAGCCAAATCAAACAATGAAATCATCAACATGATAGACCATCCTTATCTGGCCAAGTCACACCTGCAGACAGAAGCTGAAACAAACACCTATCGCAACAAGCTGCTTCATCCAGTAAAACCTACCACAGCAGCACAATCATCCCTGAATCCAATTACCCAGTTATATCTCCTCTCCCCTTTCCCCCACCCCACCCAATGAAACAATACAGGCTAAGCCATGCCAGTGCCAATACTGACACACCTCTACCAAAGCAGCGACGGAAATCACTTTTTCCCTTGAAGAGGAAAACGTGGGAACACCAGCAAACATCAGGAGGGGCAAAATCTACCACAAACAATGGCCAGAGCTCTATTGCTCTGCAAGAGGGGCACACCATCCATCTTTCAGGCTACCCAGTGTAATTCCATCCCCTTGTGTCCCATCTCTGCTGCTCACCTGCATGGTCTTAGTCCACAGCCAGAACAAGACAGCTTGCTCCACAGTGATTTTGAGAGCACAAGGCTGAGAGCACGTACACAAGCAGCTACCACAGAGTAACCAACAAGATGCAAATGCACATCTTGGTTTACCTTTCAGTTAAGTATTCATGAACCACCCCTGTACTTCTACAAACCAGCCACCATATTACTGCACTGCAAACAGAAGGTTAAAAAAAAAACATCTAAACTGGCTTATTCCTATTTAGGCCTTTAAACTGCAGAAACTTGATGGTGATAAGTGGTCAAGTACCTATAGGTGTACAGCCTTATGGCTGCTCCAGCAGGAACAGCTGCAGATATCATTGATTCACTTCAGTCTTTTCTCCCCCTCTTTGAGAAGGAGAATGTGGAGAGATGAAATAAAGGCATACCAAGTAGATAAAAGTATCAGACTTGTGGCCTTACTATGACATGAAACATTAAAGGCAAGAAACCCTTCTCTGTGTACAAGAAAGAGCACGCTGCTATTTTCCCCGTGGCCTTTCTGAGACTGTCAGTCTGTGCTGGACTGCGGCTGGTGAGAGCCAAAAATCAGCATGGAAGAAGAAAAAAGGCTAGAGACCTGCTGCTACAGAAAACAAATGATAACTCTGAATGCAAGCGGAGCCTGCACCCTGAATTGTATCTGTGACAGTGGAGCGGGCAAGGAAAGAGAGAGCGTGGAGTAAGAGGCTGCTCTGGGAAGAGCAGCAGCTTTAGGAGGGACCAGAAACAGCAGCAGCAGGAGGTATTTGAGCAACCACTCATCCTGACAGCCACCAGGAAGCAAACCTCTGGATGAGCATCCACCAGTGGGTTCCCCATGTGACCTGAGAGGTGGGGTAAGGCAATGAATCAGCCAACATATGCTCCTTCAGCACAATTTTACTGGGAAGGGCACATCCTATTTCTCCGACCCTCATTCAACCACATAAGAGGGAGAACAGCTGCACTGGCAAAAGGTGACTCCACTACACCCAAGAGCTACCGCTGGTTTTCAACACGTGCTGCACTTACCAGATTTGTTAAGCATTTGCTTATTTTACACCCCTGCACCTGAACTGCACGTTACTTTTTAATAAGCTGCTGTTTAATGAAGTACTTGATTACACACCTCATTGATAAGGAGAGCAACTGGGAAACAAGAGGACTCGGGAAAGGTTATTTAACGCTTATATTGAGCTGTCAGACTTCTTTAAGATCACGTAAAAGCAAATAGATAAATTGACATGAGTATTCTACACCCCACACATCTCCCTATGGCACTGGAGGATGGAGGGACACAGGACACTCTTCAATCCCTTGAACCAGGCCCCAGTTTCTAGATATGGTTATCTACTAAGGGCTATTAAATACACCTTTAAATCTGCCTCTACCTCTTAGCAAATGCTGTCCTCCTCATCCTTTCCCAGGAATGCATAAAGTTTGTGCTTGTAACACAACTAGGACTGGACCCACCAGCATTCAAACGGGTCTGTCAAAAATGCAACTTTAACCTCCTGTACACCAACTGCCGTGTTGGACCCAGGAAAGCAACTTCCACCAGCCTTGGCCTCTCCAGCTCTATCCCTTCCATTGCTAGCACTTGTGACCCAGCTGAGAAGTGGCTCCAGATAAGATAGGAATAATTTTCAGGGACAACTTTCATGTTTCTTTCAGCCAGGTGGCCACATGCTCACTGGCACAAAGGAGGCAGCAGTGACTGATGTCACAGGTAAACGAAATACACTTGCATCCATCTCCTGCCAGGTTCCTCTGTCCTTTTTCTTTAACAAGAACAGAAAATACATGGGGGTAGCTAAAGAACTGCTGTGGCTAAAGACATAGTGTCACATGTGCACATAAATTTACATGCCACCTGAGCACCACTCACCTCTGCTCTGCCATCAGTAGACGGCCTGACTACCTACTGCCCTGGCTCTTCCCACTGCGGGGTTTGCAGATCTCAGCCCTTAACCAAGCTACACAAATTATCACACATCAGACTTTCAGCTGACTTGCTCCACGTCCACCTTCTACCAGAAAGGCAAGGGCCACTTGCACCAGGGTCACCTCATATGGCACATGGACCGTATTCTACCCTAAACAGCTGATGATTTGTGAAAAAATATCCATGTTTTATCACTCCCTAGTAAGCCACAAATCTCCCTTACTTATCAATTATTTCCTCAACATCAAGAGATAACTTGTCCATCTAAGCTGAGCAGACAGCAACTCACAGCCAGTCATCAATTTCTAGATGGTCCTAACTTATTCTGAAGCAGTGTGGACTTTCCCATGTTTATGTCTTGGCAATAAAAAGTTACGGCATACACAAAGTCTTCAGTTTCACAAAATCCACTTATCCACATCGGAGAAATCACTGCTATTCCAAAGTCTGCACAGTATTACCTCTCTGCTGAGTCTTACACTGGAAATAACTTTCAAGCAACAGAATAATCAAGAACTTGTCACCCAAAGTCATTTTGCTACATGAATGTGGGGACTACACAACCTGCACAGAGAAAACACCTTCTCCTGTACACGTGGTGACTACACACCTCTCTGGTAAACTCTAAATGAGTAGGTTATTGCCTACAGCTACCTCCAGCCCTGAAGCACAGAGAAAGGGGTTGAGCAAAGACAAGCTCACTTAAAATTAGCACCCTGAAGACCTACATGCACATTGACGTGGAAAGGGTGTGCAAGATTCTATGCCTTTACATGGGAGAGGAGTTCCTCTGACTTGCTCAACTTAATGTAAGAATTTAGGACCACAGGATAAGCCCCACAGAAACTGGAAGAACATACTTAATCACCCCTGTGCAAATAAAGTATGTGTAGTCATACAGCATAGCTCTGCTGAGCCTACCTGTGCCTACCTGTGCCCAGTCAGACAGTACAGATACCCTTCCTCCCATAATACCCTCCCCAACTCCTATCCCCACACACATGTACATCTCCCAAAGAATCAACCTCTCCTCAAGTCCATCCAGAACAGCAACGGCCACAGAAAATTCAACCTTTTGGTCTCCATCCTTAAAATGTATAGTCAAAACAATCACTGACAAAACACAATACAAACCCAAAGGCTCGGGGAATTAAGTGTTTTATCACATTTCTCGTGTAACCATCTCCTTTCTCTCAGAAAATGGTATCTCTAGCAACTATTCATTTCCTTCCTCCTGCTGACAAGCACATGGATAACCAACAGCAGCCACGAAGCATAAGTAATTAGTATTACTATACAAGTAATTAGTGTTTTTAGGTACTTTTAAAAAAATCAGTCTGAAATAGTCTTTTGCAACAAACACATTGCCCACTACTCTCACAAGCATCACTTTTGAGAGCTGTGAGTAACACTAACACCTTTTGTCAAACAGACAACATGTCCATTAAACCTTTTTTCAGTGCATCAAACAACACCTCAGTGCATTATTAATCCAGTGGGGATGAATGACTGTCCTAGACAGCTTCTGACTCCGTACAACTCCTTCCCCAAAGTAATGGAGGAGACAGACACTTACGGATGCTGGTGAGCAGATCCAAGGTGTACAGAGACAGACACGAAGAGCCTTTCAATTTCCCAGCTGCTATTATGTAGAAAACACTCAAACTATTTGGTCCACCTGGGACTCAAACAAGCTCTTGGCAGATTCTGACACAGTTCCAGAAATCAGTATGGGGGAAAATGCAAAAAAGAAAAACCCTTAAAAAAACTCCAAACTCAAAACCTAAGGTACAGCTATCTGCTTGGGTACAGGAATGTTATGAGCGCTTCCCCTTGCTGTTCATGCCATCTCAGCCTCTCCAGCAGCAGTGGCATTTGCAGGTCAGCCAGGCTGCTGCCAGGGCGCTGGGGACGCCGTTGCGCACCCCGCAGCGTTGTCACAACGTCACACTGACCTCAGCTCAGCACTCCTGCACAGCTGCCAGCACCAGTCCAGCTCCACCTCTGTTAGCAATGCCGGGAGCAGTCTATGTACTTTACAGCTGGAGTTTTAAGCACCTTACGTGGGGTGTCACTTGCCTGAGCAGCATCCCGTCTGCCCTGCAATTCCTACTGCTGTTAACACCAGTAAAGACCAACAGCTCGAGCAATAAGGGATTTTTCAAGAAATGTTTTAACAGTATTTCCCTAATATATGACAAGCTTTCCACATCATGTTAGCAGTTAACAGCCCCAGCATCAGTCAGCATTCCACGTTCAGTGGACAATGATAAAGAGTTTTCCACAGGCTGCTTTCACTGCTTTGGCTTCTGTCAAAATTACGTCTACTTTTCAGGAGTTAGGCAACATGTTCAGAGGCAGAGGCAGAGTCTTTTCTCCCTTACTTCTCTGGGTTTCTTTTTTCAAAAATTTTAATAGGGACATCTGCATGAACAGCCACAGGTAAAAGACATCTGTATCAAGCTTGCCAGCAGCCCATTATCTAGAAAATAATCTGTGGGAAGGGAGTGGGGGGGAAATATGCTGAAATAATGGATGGGAAGACAGGACCGAGGAGACACCAGTTTGTTCTTCAACAAGTAGTAACGCCACACTGCTTAAGCAGAAGGCTTGGGAGAAACAAATCACCTATCAGTTCAGCCTGGGGAAAAAAAAAGGGCTTTTCCCTTTCCTTTCAGCATCCCTTCAACAGGCTCCCAGAATGGAAGATAAGAAGCAATCCTCAGGCATAACTCCTTGGGCTGCAATCTTGTCAGTTTTCATGAGCTAGGTGAGGCTGGGATGGGTCAGTACAGGACAGAGCTGCTCTGAGGAAAACCCAGTGCTACAGCGAGCAGTCACTCCCCGCTATGCTGCAAGGGGACACGACACACGATGCCCCTCAGAGTCACTGGGGGCAACCCACACACCTTCCTCCATTTTAACCTTCACCTTCACAGGCATTTGGTCTCCCTCATCCCAAATGAGCAGTTTTTCAAGGCTCCCCTGAGCATCACTACCTTCCAGCACTGCCTGTTGGGCCAGTTTTCCTTCAGAACTGTCACCACCAGCCATCCCTCTGCTCTTCTCCTCCTGCTGCTCTTGAGCACCCCGGGAGCTCAGCGTCACAAAGCTGCCATTCCCACAGGGACAGAGCTGGAGGGTTACTCTATGCCCTGCAGCTTACTGCTGGGTAAGGTGAGCGTCAGGGGGTGCAATGAACCCCTCACTTCTTTGCTTTTAGACCCACATTAGGCACATGAGATGCAGCACGACCTTCAGCCACCCAGTGCAGCGCTTCCACACTGCTTTCCTCGTCCTTAAATGTAGGATCTTCCACACAGCAATGACTCTTCCGAGGAGTAAGGCACTTCAAAGAACTCCAGCAAGCAAAGACTGCATGTACACAGTGCTCCACGATGCTACATGATTATATCAAAGCTGCTGGGATGAAAAACTGACATTTGATAAATAACATGAGGTCACCTCAAAGATCTCAGAACACCGCATGTAAAAAACGTTATTTTGACAAGAAATTAAGCAATTGCATAATCAGGTCCATTATCAAATCTACTGCTTTGACACGATCTTATAAAAGTACGAGGAGCGTGCAATTCCAATTGCTGCGGGATCCTCCCTCACTCAACACAAGATGTAGGCATTTAATATTCCTCCAGTTAGCCACGCATGTACAGCAAAGCCTAACGCACTTCAAAGTATTTACTGTGCTGTATAAACACGGCGCTACTTTCAAAGACTCATAACTGTCAAATCAAAGCTGGCTTCCACCAGAGCATTCAGAAGCACTGCTGCTGGATGGTGGCTATTTGCCTGACAGTTTCAACCTTCTATCCCCAACCACAAGAAGGTTAAAATTTATATATATATATATATATACACACACATATGTATATTTATTTTTTTTAACAGACAGAAGAAAGTGTTTTCTTGCTAACAAGCTGTCACATCATTTTGGCCCGAAGTTCTTTACTCCTTTCTCACAAATACATATAAAATGTGGTGGAATTCTTCCATTCTACTAGAAGAAGTTCTGAGAAGAGTTTCTCCATACACAGGACGGCCTCAACTCTCCACTGTAACAGCTCTCACTGTTGAAGCTGTGGCTGCTCACCTCAACAGGCTACAGCTTGGTTTTATATTACACTGCAAATACATTTCTAATCAACCCTCAAACAAATCCAGATTGGTACACAGATAAAAACACTGCCATTTCACAGGCAGTGTAACAGCGATATCAAGACACCTGAAGAAGTCAGTTTAGCAAAATGCAGAAAGCAGAGCTCTGAGCCACCTGAAAAATGGTCTGGTGCTGCTCCTACCCAGTGTTTTTATCAGCGAACCACTAAACCAGAGGTTTTGTTCAGGTCTTCGCAACTCTATACACACTGCAAAGGTGGCAAAGATAGCTTGACACAACATGCAGCAGCAGACTCACAGACCTAAAGCAATTTGTAGAGCATAAGTAACACAGTGGAGTAGATAAATCACAAGCTCTGTTCTCAAGTTCGTCACCGAATCAAACCTAACCTGGTTTTAAAAGAGCCCATGGGCCTCAACTGCCCCCTGATAAGGTAAAACAGATATCTGCACCCTTTGTTCAGAAGGCACAGAGGACAACAACAGGCACACGGGGATCATCCGGCGACAAGATGGGTCAGTGATTTAAAAGCTAAGGAGCTAAACCACAGTGGCACTGCTTTCTTAAGAGGCCCAACAGCCATGAGAACGAGAGAAAATGACAACCAGCTCACAGTAACTGCAAATGCTAGGAGCTGGACAGGCAGCTGTGTGGCTACCTGTGCTGGAACAACAACTGCTCAGAACTCAGTACAGAAAACATTAACTCTCCCTCAATTCCATAGGCAGCTAAATTATTGTGTGTATCATGCACTCCTTTTGTCATAGACTGCACCACTAAGGAGCACTTAAACCCAGCACTGTTTTCAAGACTACAGCACCCAATTTTCAGCGAGCTCTCGGAGGACATTGCATTCAAAAGGATTTCATTGATTCTACCTAGGCTTTAAAAAATGGGCCAACCACCTTACAGTCCACTGTTCATCTCCCTTCCCTATTCCACAAGTTCCTTCTCAGAGGCTAAACAAGGAAAAATCTCACCTCTCCTTTTAAGTCTGTCTGAAAAGAAAGGAATCATGGTGCATATCTATCTGTTCTAAATAGATAACACTCATTCTTCAGATACAGTAAAAATTTCACAGCAGTCTTTAAAATAAAGTCAAATGAGTGTTGCCAAAGCAGACCAAAACCAGAGTGCTCAGACCCAACCCTGACAAAGAGCAGGTAAGAACAACCCCAGAAGGAGGGGCAAAACAAATGTAAAAAGCTGGGTAGCAGCAGTTCACCTCTCACAGCCACACTTTGGTAGCTCAGATCAGATTTCAGGATGGTTCACCACGATCCAACCAGAAGCCTGTGCAGTTGAATGTCACATCTCACACACTGGTCTCAATCAAGTTTCCAGAGAAGTGTGTGAGAACCCTGCAGCAGACCCAGGCACAACAAGCTATTCCCTCCCTCCCTTTCCCGATATAGCAGCACATCTGTTAGAGCAGAATAAAAAACAAGGTTTAGACCACAGGCTTAATACCTCTTCCAAAATTTCTACTGTCACTGATTACGATAATTGAATATTCTTCATATTCCTACAGACATCTGATGCTTTTTAACTCTTGTTGAATTCTTGCTCCTGATGATTCTCACAGCATGAATTTCACTGCTTAATTGCAACCACACTAAATAGTCTATAGTCAATTTACAGTGCATGTTCTGTATCATCAGGCAGTCTTGATGCAGCAGAAACTTCTCCATAGCTAAACCCCCATAGCCTTCTTTTTGCCCTGCTTAAAGCTCCTTAAAGAGGGTTTCTCTTTTGATACCTTGCCTCTATGTTCAGAGATGATTTTTGGCAAAAAGAACAAGGTAAGCTGAAGGCAACTGTTCTCAGGCAAGGGAAGCTGTAACAAACAGGTGTAAAAAAACATTTAGCAAGTTTAGCAGACTCTTGGGGTATAGTTAGATGAGCACTCCTTTTGGCAGCAATGCCAGCTTAAAGAACTGCTGCTACCAATATTTACTTCCACCCCTGCACCACACTGTCTGATGTGCCCAAACAACCGCTTACGTGGCCTAACAGTGAACCAGTTTGGCAATCTGATGTACGCTAAGTATAATCTTTTTTTCTTTTTCTTTTTTTTTTTTTGCCAGGCCACTTATAATCCAGATCAACTCCTGGATCCTTTCAGCATCCAGCTGCTCCAGCAGCAGCACCAGCAAGGTGGCGCAGAGTCAAAAAGGGCAAGCACTCAATCCTCACAAGCCAACTCTAGCTAGTGCTAGGCCTACAGGTAAGGGTGCAGCCATAAAGCACGGCCCTGCTTTTTCAAAAATATAAATTAAAAGTCAACACCAGAACGGTTCACTTGGATTCAGCACAGTCAAATATCACCTAGTTTTGCTAACTAGTGCTGGTGAGCCTGAGTGACCTTAAAGGCAACCCTTCAGAAGTTTCCCAACAAATAGGATTTATTTTTTTTTGTTCAAGTTCTTTGACATTATCAGGAATTACTAATCATGAAGAAGGTTCCTGTTCTTCTGGACTTGTATAGTCCCTACCACAAAGGAGATCAAGCTCCAAAATGACTAAACTCCTAAAACACAACAAAAAGCCCCTAACAGACAAGTATGTGGGGAAAAACTAATTTAAATCCAATAGGCAGAACAGTGCTTGGACAGAAACTCAGCAATAAAATCTCCTTCCATTCACAAACTGCTCTGAAAACCTGAGTTAACACCTTGACTTTGCCAGCAGGAAGACTAGAGGGACTCCAGCAGAGCTTGCAAGCAGGAAATCCAAGCCCACAGCAAAACTTGCTGGGTTAAAGGACTTCATATCTATGTAAACAGACCACAGAACTCAGCGAGGCACAGGGATTTCTGTCAAGTCCAAGGCCATGCAAGCTAGTTAGAAGGATTTTATGAAGGTTGCCTGCATTGCTCTGAAGAAATTCTGGTAAACCTCTAGAAAGCAGAGGAGATGAAGGCCTGTGAGGCAGCACAGGTCACATTTAAGACAGAAATTAGTTTGAATACTCACTTGAGTGTAAATTGCTCCACGGGATAAAGCTGTTGTTGGTTGGGTTTTGATTTCTTTTCCTATTGAATTTATAAAAGACTAACAAAATTCCTAAGCCATAGGCACAGTTTGTAAGGCAAGAGAGTCGACAGAGCATGTCAGGAACTCAGAGGAAAAGAAAACATCTAGAGAGAAATATGTAAAAATAGGTATGGGAAGACATGTTACAGAGTAACAAGCCTGAGAAGCTAGGAAATATGGATCAAAAGTACTCCATTCCTATCCACCTCAAACATTAAACTGCTCAGAAAAGCGGTTGTATATCAACATTTTGGCCTTGTGGCTTGTAGTTGCCTTAGTTTCTATATCTGGATATTTCGTAACAAGTGTAGTTTCTCTGGCTGTGGACTGACCCTAACCGAATACAATGAATCCAAGCCACGAACTGTACAGATGAAATGCAAGACGGGAGGTAAGCAAGGGGGGAAACACAGGGAAGAAAGAAGAGAGTCCACACTCTCTGTATTCATAATATACAGAAGAAAGCTACAAAGTTTCTGGTTGCATGAACAGAAACTATTTATTTTCTTTCACATTAAAATTCAGGTCCAGTCTAGCTTAGAAGACTGTGTTGACCAATAAACAAATTAACTGATCGCAAGAGAGAAAAGCAAAACACCTCCCCAAAACAAATACAAAAAGATGGTCACAACGGTACTGTCAAAGTCCAGCTACTCCCTCACACCAGAGGAGATCACAATTTCTCCCAAAACATCATCTCTGAGCTGAATAATCTGTATTGGGAAAACTACACTGGGAAGTTCGCAACAGAACTTTTACCAAACATTGCAAAAATCAAGTACACACGCACAAAATACATCCCCAAAAGAATGTTAACCTGACCAAAGATGAGCAGCTGAATGGGAGTGGAACTTACACAAAAACTTGTTTAGGGTGGGGTTTTTTTTTGCTTGGTTTTGTTCACACTTATTTAACGTCAATGATTGATTAACATTTTGGATAAAGGAGGTCTTTGTTAGTGATTCAGCATCTCCACCCCTTCAATTAAGGTGTTAAGAGTTCACACAAGTGCAGTGAGACCCAAGATCCCCAGACCCTTCTCCACAATAAAAACTCGACTCCAAAACCCCCAGATTGGAAAAAAAAAAAAAATTAAAAAAAAAAAACCCAAACAACAAAACAAAAACGCACTCTCCCCACTGAGAAAATTGCCAAATCCCAAAACTGACATCGTTGCTAACTTCAAGTTAAAAAAAGAAAGATGCCTTTCTTTTGTTGTTTGAGGAGAGGCCAGCAAGGGAGGCAGGGAAAGAATATGAGCCCTTGAGCCATTTTTATGCTCTGAGTAAGAAAAAAAGGACACATTCATTAAAAATAATCTCATTGGAGATCACTATTAAAAGAAAAAAAAAAATCCACAGCGCACAACAGAGCCATCATGCCAACTTGTCCAAAATGGCTATAAAACCTCAGCAAAGCAGCCCTTGTAATTCAGGGGAGAGAGCAGATCCCTCTGCTATGGGATGCAGGCATGTGTACTTCTGTGAGCACAGCTCCACTGCCACAGGATGAACACACAACTTCCCCAGTCCAACAACTCTTAACACCCCACTGCAGGCAGAAATCGGGCGTGACAAGACCTCATATAAAGCAGCAGAGAGGTAAACAAAAAGAAGTGGGAATAAAGCTGTTTAGGTACGGTAATTCTTTCATTCCATACCCTTTTATTTAATGTAATGCCTTGCCTAGCTTTTCAACATTTGTTTTTGAAAGATTTTGAGCAATCACTGACCAAACAACCCAACAAAACAGAAGAAAAAAAAAATCTACATCAATTTTTTTCCTCATGCTTTTAAAGCTTGATGCATTTAAGGATGCTTAGAGCATTCTATTATGCCTACGTGGGCTTTTCTCAAAGAAATCAAGGACAAAACACTTTCAAGGAAAAAACGTTACTGGAACCCCTAAAAACTGGAATAACTGTCTCCCCCCACTTCCTCAAACTGTGTTTTGACAGAAGAACAACAAGTCACCAACAGGGAAGCTTTATGAGACAAACTTGACGTGGCACAACCCGTTCTCCTCTGCCCAGACCAAGGTGGTGTTACTTTACCAGGTAAGAGCTACAACACCTGATGTTCCTCTCCCAGAAAGTGAGGTTCATGGTCACTTCCAGACCAGTTTCAGAGTCCAAGTTAGGTTTGGCATCTGGAGAGTAAAAGCATCTTCCCTTTCACACTGGTGGTCTTTGAACTACTAACACTTCTTTCATACTTACTTTCTTTCTTTGCTGCATGACAGTTCCCTGATTTCTCATGTAGTTTACTATTAAGCCACTCATCATGTCATCATCCCACCCTAATTTTTTATATCCAAATAGCAACCCACAGTTGACTGTCACATCAGATTCCTCCCATCTGTGTCCTCACACTTTGTTTCCCCTCCGCGAACAACATCCACCTTCCAAATCCCAAATGCTCCATCAGCAGAGGCCTTTCTGGTCCCATCACCTACACTGAGACCTCGCGAACAGAAAGCTGGACTACACAGAAAACCAGGGTGCTCTCGCTCATCTTAGAAGTGGAGCCTTGTTGCCTCCCTGCATCTACTCGTCTCATCATTTCCCTGAGCATTTGGGGTCTTCAGTGTTCAGTTGTTCCTCATCATCCAACCCTTGACCTCATGAACTTGCAGTGATTCTACAGACTTAGCCTTTCTCATCCCCCTCAGCAGCCAGCCAGGGCACAGACTGCCTCACACACAGACAAAATGCCTCTCCTCTACCTAGCAGGAATACTTCCAAATAAAAACACTGCCCCTGCCTTGTCAGATACTGCTCTTCCCCACAATCCTGATATACAAGATCCCCTCCCACACTCTTAGTGTCCCACAAACTCCTCTTGCACAGCTATCCCACATACCAGTTCAACACTACATGCTCAGCTTCCCTGGATTCCTGCTCTCCTGAACCACCTACACTGCTTTCCCAGCTCTGGAGCCCTACAGTTTCCCTCATGACCACTTGCACCACCCATGCTGAAAGCCCACCCCAAATTCTGGCTCCCAATGCCTCCCCATACCACAATCCCACTCCCATGTCCCTTTCTCCCAATGACTCAAGTCCCAGCTCCTCATATCCTTTCATCACTACATCCATCCCCTCATGTATCAACTCAATTCCCCCCAGCAGACCTCATACTCCACATTGCTTCTTTCACCTCTTCCTTTCTTCCTGCAACGAAGCCGCCTATCTGTTCCTCACAACACATCCCAGATGATCTGATGTCCCACACACCATCTCCCACCCCACCACTGCATTTTCCACCTTTTATTCCAATCCCTACATCCCTTCTGCAGACCTCTGTGCCCCAGCCCCTCACTCCAGCTCCACCGCAGAGTTCACACACGCAGCTCCCACCCCACTTACTCCAGCTTCCTCTCCTAGGACACTTCTCACTCCCAATCCAACAGCCCAGCCCTGGCGCTGCAGCCCCTCCCATCCCACGTCCCAGCCCCTCACTGGGACTGGAATCCCAGAGCCACCTCTCTAATCCACGCAACACCGTCCTCTTCCATGGCATAGCCCCAAGGGCACCCCACAGACCTCAGAGCACCCCACGTACCAGCCTGGCCTTCAGAGCACCCCAGTGCCACCCCACAGCCACGTGGACACCCAGTGCCCCCAGCACCACCCAGTGCCCCCAGCTGAGCACAGCCACGTGGGCACCCACTGCACCCCAGAGCACCCCACACATCCCTCCGCGAAGCACAGCTCTCGGGGCATCCCACGCACCCACACTGCAACCCAGGACAACCCACACACCCCTTCCCACGGCAAACCCCCTCTGGCATCTGCCGCAAGTAGGAGCATCCCATACATTCCTCCATACAGCACAGCCCCCAGGGCATCCCCTGCACCACAATGCAGGGCAGAGCATTCCATGTGCCTCTCCACAGGGCACAGCCTCCAGGGCTCCCTGTGCATGCCAAAGCACCCCCAGTCATCCCATGGAGCACAGCTCCAAGAGAATTTCCCGTGCCCCACGCATCCCTCCAATGAGCACAGCTCCCAGGGCATCCTCTGCACCCCAAACATCCCATGGAGCACATCTCCAAGAGCATCTCAAGCACTTCACACATCCCTCCACGAAACACAGCCCCAGGTACCTCGTGCTCCCCACGCATCCCGTGGAGCGCATCCCCTGCTCCCCACAGATCTCTCCATGGAGCACAGCTCCCAGAGCATCCCCTGCTCCCCACACATCTCATGGGGCACAGCTCCTGGAGCACTCCCTGCTTTCCACCCATCCCTCCATGGAGCACATCCCTTGCTCCGGGGGTGCAGGGGGGATGAAAAAAGAGGAAGGGGGTCTCATGGAACACACCCCCTGCACCCCACACATTCCTCCATGGAGTACAGCTCCCAGCACATCCCATGCTTCCCATACTTCCCTCCATGGAGCACAGCTCTCAGCATATCCCCTGCTCCCCACACACCTCATGGGGCACACCTCCGGGAGCATTCCCTGCTCCCCACTGATCCCTCCATGGAGCACATCCCCTGCTCCCCACACATCCCTCCATGGAGCCCTGCTCCCCACACACCCCACGGAACACAGCAGCTAGAGCATCCCATGCTCCCCAAACATCCCATGGAGCACATTCCCTGCTCCCCACACACCTCATGGGGCACAGCTCCTGGAGCATCCCCTGCTCCCCACAGACCCCTCCACGGAGCACAGCTCCCAGCACATCCCACGCTCCCCACACATCCCATGGAGCACATTCCCTGCTTCCCACACATCCCTCCACTCAGCGCATCCCCCGGGCACCCCCGATCTCCCCTCTCCCGCTCCTCCGGGGCACCCCCGTCTCCCCCCCCCGCCCCGCCCCCCCGTGACTCCCGCGCTCCGTGCGGGCGGTGCGGGTGCGGGTGCCGGGCTCCCTGCCCGCACTCACGGCGCTCAGCGCGGGGCCGGCGGGGGCGGTGCGGCGGCTCCGTCCCCCTCCCGCACACACACACAGGCTCCATTGTCCGCCGGCGGCGGCGCCTCCCCCCGCGCCCCGCGCACTTGGTACCGCCCAGCGCAGCCCCTCGCGCCCGCTCCCCCCTCCCCGCCCCCCCCCAC